TAACCTAAAGTACACTCCAGATGCCTATATAATATTCTTTTTTTTTTTAAACTAGAGAAATACATGGATTATGCCTCAACCATAATCTCACTATTTTATGTTGTACTACGATCATCTTTTGATTTTATATAAAAGAAAAAATTAATAATGTTGTATGCAGTCCAAATTACTACATTAAATTTTGGAATGTATAACATCCATTTGAGAGTATCGGGTGCACTTCCATCATTAGAAATCCTTTCACTAAAAAAACTTATGATATTGATGTTATGAACTTTCAACAACCACTTGTCACTTATTCGGGAATATTGTTGCTTGATAAATCTTTTGTGAGTAGATAAGTAAGGTTGAAGTTCATCATTATTCAATATCTACAAGTGTGCTTGAAGAAATATATCCTAAGGCATTGACATAATATTTAAAACCTTAGTACATATACCTCTATATCTATCAGCATAACGACACTTTAGAATTCCAATAGACTCTACATCTGACAATAGTTTGAACATAATTTAAAAGCTTCTTCTATGATGTAACTTTCTCCATCCAAGCTTCTGGTGGGTGATGATTTTCCGTACCTCCTTTAAGGTTCTTCATCTATCACTTTATTGGATACATGCACCTTAAATAAACTAGACCACAAAATCTAATTTCTTAGTCTAGATATACAATTAAGTGAACCATAATATGAAAAAAATGATAAAGGGAAGTACATCTCCAATTGCCATAAGATTATAGCACGATAGTCTTCTTTCATCTAATTTTTTAAAATCAAGAACTTTATGACATATAGCATTAAATAATAAGCACAATATATATTGTTATAGTTACTCTTAAATTTTTTGATAAGATGCCATGGATAGCCACCAGTAGAGTTGTTGCACGAAGTCATGACAATCATGAGATTTTAAGACAATTAACTTTAGATCATTCATTTAAAAATATATAATAGTTTACTTTAAATTATTTGTATTTCTTAAATAGAAAATATTTTCCCACCATTCAAATGTTTTCAAGTGCCTTTTCATTTCAAATAAATTGGACAACACAATTAATAAGGATATAAGGCTTGCAAGCATAAGATCACGAGTTTGAGTCTTACTTGTTTTATTTTTTAAAAATATTTTTATTTATATTTGTCACTAACTTTATTTCCATTTTTGAAATCACAAAATTGTATATTTATTATTTTAATTTTAATTTTCGTTTTTATTTTAAAACATTTTTTAAAATATTGATTTAATTGATTTTATGCATTTTTTTTTCAAAAATCATTGCATGAATCATAATAAATACCAAAAATATATCCTTTTTTGGTAACTATTTTTTATTGGTCAAGTTTTGTCACTTTTTGTGACATACTCATCTCTGATTCGTCAGTTTATTGACCAAGAAAGATCTGATTTGTAAATTAATTTTATTTCTTATTTTGTTGACCTAATTATCCCTATAAATACACTATTATTTTCACAGTATTATTGATCATTGATCGACAATTTTATAAAATTCTCACAATTCACACTCCTCACAAAATATTTTTACAATTCCTTTTCAAAGCCATCTCTTTAAAACCATTTGCTATTTCATTATTTTTGGCAAATAATTTTCATATGAGGCATCTCTTTTAATTTTAATTTGTTTTAATTATAATTCTTTTGTTGTATAAACCATATGATAAATTTTTTGATGGTTCTGTTATTTTTAAATCTATTTATTATTTTTAACTATTATATATAACATCCCCACACAAAGCTTTGTTCATTTTTTTCTACAAATTCTAAACACATAATTTCTAATATTTTAGTGTAGTTTAAAAATTCACAAATACCACCGTCAAAACCATCTTCATCTATTATGTATTTTCATCTCAAACAACTTTTTGCATAAACCTTTCTATAGATTTATATCTCAAAACAACAACAATTTTTCACCATTGTTTCAAACTTAGTTCCAAACCTCTTCACAATTAGACAAGCCAAATCATATAACAAAACCTGGAAATTTTCATTCGTACAAAAAGTTTGTGCACAAGTTTACAAACTTCACAATCTTCACCAAATCAACACAATTTCAAAAACTCAAACAAAGCAATCAACAATAATCATTGTTAGCATCAATATAACCAACGTAGAGGAAAAAACATAAGAAACCAATCGCCATTGTCGTCGTAATTGTGTAGTTTTATTTCTTTCCTTCCATTTATCATTTTTGGGAACTTGCTTTCAGGATGCTGTCGAAAAGAAAAGGAATAAGATTAAAATAAAATAAGAACCACAAATAAAACAATAACTCAATCGCTACGCAGAAACCTCCACCAGAATCACAACGATCTTAGCCACACACCACGATGGATAACCTATCACCACGATTTCCCGAGCACGCTCAACCAACGAAGCACTGCACATGGCATCTGTCCCTCTGATTCGTCAGCCGCACACGCTAGATCTACCAAACCAAACCCTCTCACTTTGGTTTTAATTAATTTTAATTTCACATGTCATACTATAAGTGGTGGATTGGAAAAGGTTTGAAATTGTCATGGAGTATTATTGTCATAATATTAGTAAATTAGATATGGTTGTTTTTATATTTCTTAAATTTTGGAATCAGTATAGTTTTATTAACTTATACACCCTTAGTATGTCATTGTACTCACATAATGTATTTAATTAAGTTAAAAATTTATTTTATGAATCAATTTGATCATTATACGTAAACAATAAAAAAATTAATCTCATTGTATGTAATCAGTTTCACTAAAATAATTAGGTTATTAGGTTGATTATATTTTATAGTCTTTTAAATAATTTATTTGCTAGCGTAAATTAAATTAATTAAACTAGTTAGTTGATTAAATTGTTAACTTGTACATAAATGGCTAATTACAAAAATTACTGAAAATAATCATTTATATACATAACTTTAAGGCTTCTCGATCTTAATGCTAAAATTAGCATCACAGATTTGTAATTACCTAAACTATACATAAATCAAATTTCTTCGTCCCACGTGACTTAATTACGGTAAAGATTAACATCATCAACCAAAATCAATTTCTTTGCCCAGGGCGATCTAATTCTAATAAAGATCAACTCTTTATAAATCAAGTAGACTTAAAGAATCTAACCAATAAAAAACCTTTTTCTTACTAACATAATCAAACCCAACACATTTTTACAATAAAGGATTTTCCAGTTCCTGTCTACGTGGATATAAAAAACGAATAAATGGCGATTCCACTATATTTTCCAGTTCCTGTCTACATTTTTACAACCAAGGCGATTCCACTATATAAAAAACTGATTAAATAAAGAAGTATTCACTCTAAATACAAGGTTTAAAAGGGATTTCCTTGAGTATAAGGGAGGTAAAGGGTGCCTAACACCTTACTGTATCTATTCACCTATCGAAGTGTCTATTTAAAAATTGTCTAGAGGTTCTCCCTAACATCATAACTAAAGACTAAACATAAAGCTCATATCCCAAATCAAACATTAACCACAACCAAATTCAAAAACCTTAAAAATACTTTTCAAAAATCACTATATAAACTCATAATACCTTGCATCAAACTCACACCTAACATTCACTCTATCCAATATCACTTAATTTCTTACCATGGGAAATTTCAAGATAGCATGTGTTGTTATAATGTGCATGGCTTTAATGTATGCATAAAATGGTGGTATAGTTTCATGCGTACAACTTTACGATAACCTTGCGCCTTGCCTACGCTATCTTCAGAAAGATGTTGTTCTTTCGCCAAGATGTTGTTAGGGCATTAAAGGGTTAGTTAATGCGGCTAAAACAATTGTTGACCTTCGTGCAACTTATGATTGCTTGATGTCCGCTACTGCTGCTGCGGACTATGTTGCTGCACTCCCTGGAAAATATGGGAATAATATCCCTTACAACATCATTTCTTCCATCAACTATGCTAGGTATACATACATTATCTAAATATTTATTGTAAATGGAAAATAATTTAAATCTTATAAAAAGGAATTCAACTATTTTATAGAATTCATAAATTAAATTTCTTAATTAATAGAAATTATTGAAATGTGTTATTTTTCAAGAGGTTTATATTATAATCCCTCACAAATAAAGTTTAAAGATGGATCCATATTATTCTGGTTTAATTTTATTTTGGTGTATAAATAAAATAAAATATTTTATGTTAAATTATCAAAAATATTAATCACTCCTGATATCCAAATTAATTATGCCACATATTAATTGAAGTAATAATAAGAGTTTTATACTATTTGAGTAAAAGTTATGATGTATTTATTTGCTCAAAAATAAATTATTTTCTATTTATATTTTTAAAATAAACAAAGTACTTAGATCACTATGCCAAACAAGGGATTAGACAGTGCTTTTTCAGGCCTTTAATAGCGCTTAAAAGCGCTGCTAAAACCTCCGCTGCTAAAGGTATAGACAGCGCTTTTATCAAGCGCTGTCTATTCCCCCCCCTTTAGCAGCGCTTATCCTTATTATTTTTTAATATTTATTTTTCAATCACTTTAGACAGCGCTTGGTAAAAGCGCTGTCTATTCCCCCCTTTAGCAGCGGTTTTCCTTATTATTTAAAAAAAAAAAATTTCAATCACTTTAGACAGCGCTTTCATGAAAAGCGCTGTCTATTACCCCCCCCTTTAGCAGCGCTTTTCCTTATTTAAAAATAAATAATTTAATTTCAATCACTTTAGACAGCGCTTTCATGAAAAGCGTTGTCTTCCCCCCCCCCCCCCCCCCCCCCCCCCTTTAGCAGTGCTTTTCCTTGTTATTTACGTGTCAATCAGAGTAGTTTCTATGACCAAAATTATGCCTTCAGAGGCATCCATGTTTATAATAAAACTCAGATAGCTGAAACAAAAATTAATATGGCTATTGTAAATAACAAACGTTTTTGAGGTGATAACTCCGATAAACAAACTACAGTAAATTTTCAATTTAGGCAAATGACACATAGCGAAGCAAAACAAAATAGAAACTCTAAGTCATCCTCTGGGCAACTTCCTTGGCAATAAGCCTTTCCTTCTCCTTAGTTTGGCTTGGGATTTGGAACCCATGATTCCACCACCCCACTTCTTCCTGTACTCTTCATACTTGTCATTGAAGTTTTCCTGAAATACAAGCAAAATAAATACACAAGTTTTATTGGGCAATACGGCAATACACTGGAAAAAGATAATTATAAAATTCAATGTCACCTTGATTGCTTCAAGGACCCTGCTAAACTCCATTTTATCTTCATTTTTAACAGTTGTCAAGCACAAAACAACTGCAGTTTTCTTATGGACAACCTGTAAAGTATAGATGTGTTATGAGTAATTAACAAAGTAATGTCAACATAACTCATTCCCAATACATATTAGTGTTGAAACCACAAGAAACTTACAGTTCCAAGGCGAGCCTTGCCCTTAACAATACAGTATGGAATTTCCATTTTCCTACACAATGCTGGAAGCCAGACAACTAATTCAATTGGTTCAACATCATGAGCAATCACAACAAGCTGGGCTTTATTCTGTAAGAAAAAGATAGCAGCTTAGCACGTCATCCATCAATATCACAAAACAAATACACAAACAAGACAAAAACCATAATCACTGAGTAACAAAATCAATAAACAACCTGCTCAATGAGATAGGTAACATGATTGAGACCATACTTGACATTAATAGGCTTCTTTGTCTCAACTGTTTTACCCTCAGACTCTGCCTGAGCCCTTTTCAAAAGCCTATCCTTATTTTCTGCTTTGTCCTCAGGCCTATACTTGAGAAGAATCTTAAACAAGCTTGTTGTTGCAGGTGCAATCATTAAATATAATCAAAATCATTATCCAAACAAAATAAGCCATCATAGAATCAGAATGTATAGAACATAAAAAAAAAGCAACTCAAAAGTCTCTAACTAAATTCAAATTAACCAAAGCAGCTAACTGATTAACATCAAAACCCACAAGAACAAAATATGACAACTAAATTCAAATTACTTTCTCAATTATCTCAAAAATTGTTTGACAAAGAGGAACGGAACAATGTAAAAATATTCGGTCAAACTTTAGAAGATATGAGATGAAAGTTGTGAGCATCTAACGCTTATAAATCATGAATTGAAACATTGTATTTTGGTCTAGGATCCAATTCTATTGAAATCCAAAATTTATACAAAAATTTTAATCTAATCTTTTCTTCTTTAATCTTCCTTCTAAAAAAAACCTATTGTCTTCATCAAAATCTAACTATGATTGATGATGAACATTTTCTTTATAAATTCCACATAGATTGCTCTAAGTATTGGAGTGTGAAGTCTTAAACGCACTAACAATACTTAAACCTGTGCTAAATTTTTACATCCATTGTTAGAGTTAAAATTGTAAACACATACATTTTATCTTTTATTTGATTGTATTGTCTCTGAGGGCTAAGTTGATCCTAATTTATTTTTTGAGAAGACAAAGAGATTAAGTGTTTTTTTTCTATTAAATTCATATTTTATTTAGTTTGTATTTGATTACGTTTTCTATTTACACTTACCAAAGTTTTTGTTATACAATTACTTCAACAAAGCAGTAGGTGATAAATCTAAATATTTTTCATAATCAAACTTAATCATGTCTATGTTTTGTTTTGGTGGTCAAAGATTAGAGAGTAAGATAGAGAAGCCTACGTTGATGATAATCTTGTGTTATTTTAGGATTATAGTAAAAACAAATTATGAGAATGAAATACAAAAAACACATGATGAGAATGAAAATGAGTACCATATACCATATTGAATGCATGCATTTAATGTGTGCAATTTATTTCAGAATCAACTGAGAAGCTTTTCACTTGAGAGCTGGCATATGTTTAATTCAAAGATCCTCCACAAAGTTCTAATAACCATCACCACCACCCATATCAGCTTACCCCTTAAACAATATGCCATTAAAGTAAGTTTCAATGAGCTCTTTCCTAACAGGATCGTTCAAGAACTTAATCAAGTGACGTTCCTTCGCAGTGCCACCAAACACAGCCACCAAATTCTCACATTCCATCTCATCAAGTTTAGGGATGAAAGGTATCCCCCTAAATCTACAATCCTTTTCATAAAGATGATAACACTCAATTCTCAATTCAGCTATGGAAGGCTCTTCATATTCATAAATATGACCTAACTTTAACTTCAACTCACCACTGATTCTTGCAGATTCTGTCTCCAGCACCATTTGACGCTTCTTCAACTCATCGATCGCGCTCTGAAAGCGTTTGCGTTCTTTCATAAGAGGAGCAGCAGACTCAACGAGCTTTCTTGCTAAGGCAATATCAACTTTTGATATTTCCTCCTTTTGAAAGAGGATTTGTAACCTTCTCCTGAAAAATTATTCCCAAAATAATACAATTAATAAAAACAAGCAAAAATGGAATCGTAAATAAGATAGATGTTGAAGCAATTACTTACTGGCTTCTTCTTGGAAGCTGCAACTGGAGCTTTAACACCTTTTTTGGGACCCTGAGAAATCAAACACATAAGTGTAAATTGCAATCCTTCTTGGAAGCTCGAGGAAGAGTCATAACAGAACTTCAAAAAATCAAAATCAATCCTAGCCATTGGAATCTCTAACCAATTCTCGATATCAACTACTCATGTTCAATCTTTTGTAACAAACTTCTAACAAAATATAACATAAATTTTCAGAGATTGAGGAGGATTGATTCACGATAAAAATACATAGAAAAGGGCTTGAAGGATTACCTTTTCAATCCTCTGCAAATTTGTGAGATTCTTTCTCTACCATTGCTTCAAGCTTCAAAACGTTTCCTCTTTGCGTAAATCATCTTCTTCGCATCACATCAACTTTAATCTTCATCTTCATCATCAACCCTGAACCTGCAAGATTCTTCAACATCATCTTCATATTTCTGCTTTCTGTTCAGTCATCATTAACGTCGAGTTCAGTCAATCTACAGCATCACCATCATAGTAATTTCGACTTCAATCTATTACAGCAACATCGTAATTTTTTTCATCGCAAAACAAGCAAGAAAAGGTTCATAAGTATAAGAGAGAAGAAATGGAGCAAGAATCAGACTAAGGGGAAAGTTGGGAGTTTACCTCAGAACACTTGCTTGAGTTTGTCATCACCTCATCGGAATCGCCGTCGTAAAAAGGTTTTCTTCACTTTTATTCTGATATCTGTTATTGGAGGTTTTATATGTGAAATAGATGGAGGATACGAGGTTGGAGAGGGATTTTAAGCTAAGTGTGTGGGTTGAGAAAGTGAGGACGGAGGAATCTATTCTTCAGATGCGCTCTGGTAACGTAGATGAAAAAGTGAGAAGAGGAAAGGTGTGGTTGTGAGGTCATGGCGGCAATGTCGAATGGAGATGTGAACCGCAGTGCGATGTAGGTATCGCGATGGCTGAATGAGGAGGATGAAACCATGACGGAGATGATGAATTTGAATAAAGCTGCGCCACCGCCGGTGTGAGAGGAAGAGAGAAGAAAAGTGAATTCTCTCTTGAAGTTATGCCTGTGAACCCTATTCTTTAGACCAAACGACATTGTATCTTTTCCTTTTATTATTTTTAAATTTTATTAAATATAATTGAAATAATATTTTTAAATTTTATTAAATTTTATTAATTTTAAATTTTATTAAATATAATTGAAATATCACACCTTTAGCAGCGCTTTTAGTAAGCGCTGTCTAAGGTATACCCTTTAGCAGCGCTTATTCTTATTTTTTTTTATTGAAAACCTATTGCAGCGCTTAGGGAAAGGAAGCGCTGGCTATGGTAAAGCCTTTAGCAGCGCTTTTAGTAAGCGCTGTCTAAGGTATACCCTTTAGCAGCGCTTATTCTTATTTTTTTAATTTTTTTTTATTGAAAATCTATAGTAGCGCTTAGGGAAAGGAAGCGCTGTCTATGGTAAGGCCTTTAGCAGCGCTTTTAGTAAGCGCTGTCTAAGGTATACCTTTAGCAGCGCTTACTCTAATTTTTTAATTTTTTTTTCTTCTGAAAACCTATAGCAGCGCTTATGGCATAAGCGCTGTCTATGTGGCGCTGTCTAAATTCAATTTTGGCATAGTGGATAGAGAAAAACAAACAGTACTAAATTTGATCAATAATATGGAATTGACAAAAAGTGGTTGCATGCATGAGAAAATTATTTACTTTTATATGTAATTTCGAATGAAGACAAATAAAAATATCTATTTATAATGTTTATACATATAATATTGTGATAACATTTTAGTATATAAAAAATAACAGTATTTCTTCTTATTATATTATATATATTTTTGTAGTGTCAAGTGATGTAAAATGTTATGTGTGTTGAATCTTCAATAAAAATAATATATGGTATTGCTATATGCTAGTGTGAAAGAGAATAAAGAAAGAGGATAGTTCTAGCATTTATGATAGAGCAAGTTTTCTCTTATATTTAACACATTTACTAAGTTTTTATTTATGTGCGACTTTGTTTATTCTGTATACTGATGTGATGTGTTTAAAATATTAATAAAATATGTAGTTTGTGGTTGTTGTTATATAATTAAAAAAACAGTGATTATGCATAAATTTAGTTACTCAAAAGAATTATTTAAGAACACAATAAACCTATTGCACGGGTGAATTCTATTTAAATATACTATTAATTATTGTAGTTTATAGAAATAATTTAAAATATTTATGTACGATTTATTTTAAAATATTTTTTTATTTCTTATGTAAAAATTAGCATATAATAAGCATAGAATTATAAAATATGGTGCGTATAAATATTTAAAGTGATAGTTATGAAAAAATAGAGAGTAATAATTATCATATTAACATTTTCACATGTATCAAATAAATTGTATCATGCCATAAAATTGCTTAGTTCATAAGGATTTTATGAATTCAACTATATTAAAATTGAATGAGTTTATGAATAATTCATAATTATGATATGATCAAAAAATGAAATTATTACATGATTATATTTATTATTTTATATTTTATTAAATTTCAAATTATATAATCAAAAACACTTTATTATAAGTGATTTAAATTACATTTTTTTACAGAAGACAGAGGAATAGAACATAAGTATATATAAATCATTTAAGTAAAATAATAAGGGGTCTTATTTGGATAAATTTAAATCCAGTCGTTTGTTTCTTTTGAGGGAGTGATTGGTAAGGAAAAATAAATTGGTTAGGGCTACTAAGAGTTGCAATTACCTTATCTACTCTTAAAGGTTTTTGAGAGAAGAAATGAATGGAGACATTTAAAAATTATACTTTAATATGATAACAAACCAATAAAAAAAATATGAGTGTTATTTTGGTAAAAAAACTTTAAATAACCTTTTTATCCTTTTTATCACATAATTTCTTACCATGGGAAACTTCAAGATAGCATATGTTGTTATGGTGCAGATTCATGTGTACAAGTTTATAATAGCCTTGCGTCTTGCCTAAGTTATCTTCAGAATAGTGGCGCTGTTTCGCCAAGTTGTTGTTAAAGCATTAAAGGGTTAGTTAATGCGGCTAAAACCATTATTGACTGTCAATAAACTTGTAATTGCTTGAAGTCGACTACTGCTGCTATGAAAGCAATCAATGTGGACTATGATGCTGCAGCTAAAACCATTGTTGAATTCCGTGCAACTTGTGATTGCTTAAAGTCAGCTATTATAACTATCAAAGGAATCAAGGGGGACTACGCTGTTGCACTCCCTTAAAAATGAAGAACATGTATCCATTACAAGATCAGTTCTTCCATCAATTGTGCTAGCTATACATGCATTATCTAAATATTAATTCTAAATGAAAAATAATTTAATTC